ATCTAGCGTAGCGGTTATTGGCGATTAATGCCGTTTGGACTCCAGCAATTTCGGCACACGAGCTCATTTTTGAATTGCCTAAGTCACCAAATCCGCTAAAAACTTGTATTTAGGGGTAGTTTAACATCCTGATTACGAATGTGACATTCACTCTTGCTGGCGCTGATGACACTGCGATTATCTGCGCTCCGCTAAGGCTGAGCCCAAGAGGTAATCGTAGTGTCACCTTGGCGCCAGCGCCAAGAATGAGTGTCATAATTGTAATCACGATGGTAAATAACCCTTGTGTACATGTTTTCAGCGGGTTTGGTGACTTAGGCAATTTAAAAATGAGCTCGGTGCCGAAATTGCTGGAGTCCAAACCGCATTACCCGTTATTGGCAAGATGCTTACGGGAGACTCGTTCCGATATTGCTTTGGTCATGAAAGACGAAAGACCTTTCTTCGCAGGTTTTTGACCGCTTCACTTGGTTTCTTCGCCAATTTCCCGCTATATAGTGTCCTGCTAGCATTTTAGGCCAAATACCACATTATCGTGCCAAGTGCCTTTAACGAAATAATTCAATTTGAGTATAGCGTTATACAAGCAAGTGCATTCGACTCGCTTGTATAACTCTGCCTGGTTCTTGAGTTCGACTAATCATTACAAATAATATAGTTGGTCTTTCCTTGTAAAATTCGTCGTCGGAGTGCTCTACTGAAGAGTTGAGCAACAAAAGTGCAACACTGCTGGGTTGTGCCATGCATTTGCCTTACCCTATAGAAAGTTGAAGGACTCGAACATGTATCTGACTAGTATAGTGCATTGCTCAAGCCAGACATTGTTCAAGCGCGACCTTCTTACTCTCTCGGAGGCTCTCACATGGGAATTTCACGACCCTGGAAGAGAAGAAGTCTTAGATTATCCGCTGTTAACCATAACAATGTTCGTGGAAACATTTCGTGTTTCTCCTAGTCACTACCATCTTCGCTCGACCTCTCTTATGGGATCATTTCAAAGTAATCGTCGAGCCAACAAAAAGAGTCTAATTGAAGGCCATGCTAGAATGCCATTATCGGGATATTATCATAGGGTTCGCGTTAAATTTACGACTACATTTAAATTCCATTGTAACAACCACATGACTTTCTCTGATGCCACCTAACCCACGCATGCACTTTTGTCCTCGTGCATTTTCGTACGCAAGTGGGAATCAGCAATAAGTTAGCCAAGCCATGAGTTGGTAACTCCCAAGCCATTTCTTTTCCTCACAGCGTAGAGAGAGGAGGGGGAAAGACATTTCGGCCGAGTCACATACCAGTAAAGTTTCCGCAGCCTAGAGTTAAGGCATGGATATGAGTACCAGGAGCGGAAGATACCCAAGATGTTCCGATAAGCAGGAGCTGGCTCTCGCCCATCACCTTCATGTACACCAAAATATGAAGTCATCTCCAGTCGCAGCCTGACTGGAGAAGACCTTGGAATTCACGTCACCTCCAAACAGCTGCGAAACTTCTAGTATGGAGTCACCCATGGATAGCTACCTGGAGATCAGTACTCTCGATCTGGATGATCTCCAACATCGAGCAGCTCCGACAACGCCGCTACGGTCTAGGACATCATCTTCACCGCAGTCGCCAAGGCGCGGGTGATGGCATGAACCTGAGTACCTGGAATGGAAAGACCGATATTTTCTTCGTGAACTCCGACGGATGTGAATAGCTGCGGTGTACATCGACCAACTCGAGGAGAATATCTTGCCTTCATGTCGTCGCCCGTACCACCTTGAAAACTCCGTACTGCTACAAGATTGGGTGTCACCATACAGAATCAAAGGGCGTTGGAAAAACTCTCGCCTACTTGGAATGGAAGGGCGTTGAGTACCTGAAAAAGACAGAATACCTAAGTGTGTCACCTGACCTAAAAACCCTCGATTACCAGGTTCGGGTGGTGCAGGGTGGTCTACAGTGGCGGAGAAATCAACGACCTCGCTGAACTCAGGCACCGAATCACGGTCGCGTGGCAGAATCTCTCGATGGCGTTCGTCCAGAAGGCTGTGGCGGAGTATCGTGATAGTGTACAATGTGTTGTTGAATATGATGGTGGAAATGTCCAATCAGAATTCTAATAAAGTTCACTTATATCGTCTTGAAAGTCGAGAAAGAAAATTGCCTTTTTTGGCCCTCCTTGAATAGTTGAGCCCAGCAAAAATCCTGCCAATTCAAAATATGCTTAGACAACTTTCTCGGAAGTTTTTTTCAAGCCTTTTCACTTTTTCCCCAAAAAAACTACCGTCAAGTGGGTAGGGGAGGGTACATGTATAACACACTCGAAACATGAGAAAACCTAGAGAAAAGTGAAGAACCTAGAACATTCTACTCAAGGGCAAATACTGCATTCCCCCCTTCACTCCTTCCAGCGACCAAATACGACCCTAAGGATCCTCAGCGTGCAATGAGCCCCCATTGCTCCTCCTCTCAACGTGATCTAGAGCACGACATACAGCATTACCATTTCAGAATTCCCTACGTCTGTTGACTAGGTGACATACTTCACCGGGGATCGCCATGTGCTCCATTTTTCCTCTCGTTTAGGGTGGCAGTGGCCATCAGATCGTTGACTATTCATGTCAATCGCTTACTTTAGTCTGGGCAAATAAACATCTTAGGAACAATTACGGTGGCCCGCCTCACCGCAACAACTGCGATGAGGCGATCTCATCGAGTGTCAGCGACTTCCTTATGAGTTCTATTCCATTGTCGTTCCCCTTCAACGCCTTGTCGTATCGTACTCGCTTGCTCAATCCGGTTTCCAGATGTGATTAAATCACCACAAGCCGCTTCGTCGAAAGCGTAAACGATCGCACCAAGTTCTTTTTCGTGGTCACTCCTTACTTTCACTGTGCGCCAGAACACGTTTCCACTTCGAAAAGTTCTTCACGTTGGATCTTTTCTGCTCTGCCTTTGCCCAGATGAAAGTTATGAGATCGTGAAGGGCTATAAATACAGGTGCTTTGCCGGAAGCACTCAACTCCTGAGAGACACCTTCCGCGCTATGCCAGCTTTGACACAAGGTCTTCGGCACATTCAGCTCCTTTATCCAGTTCTCAAGGCTATCCGATGAGATCGCAGTAGGGCGTGGTAGATGCGTAGCAATGGATATGCTTCAGGTCTTGCGGTCGTATTAGCTAATCGTCATCATTCTCATGCCTTTCAGAAGCATAAATGTGATGTACTATTACTGCTTGTTTAATTGGAACTTCCATAGATTCAGGGTCGCAAGAAGGTGAACCTACCAAAATGTCAGCCATTCTTTGAAGGTTGCTGTCATCCTCAAGAGCAGTTCAACATTTACTAGTACATCATGACAATACCGGGATTTACTACGAGTCAAGTGGCCCGCAAATGTGAACTAAACGGCTCACTGGGAGAATCAGGGTCGGATCTCAAGTTGTTCAGTGCTAACCTTGGGCAATGCTGCCATCCATCTCTGTGACTATGGCCTCGACCTCGTCAGCAGAACCTAAAACATAAGAAGACCCCTGTTTAGTCTTTGTTCAGTTTTTTTTTTTTATAAACAACATACCGTTTAGGCAACAACGGGCCAGCTGAGCGTTACTGGTGTGGTTTACCTGCAGCTGAGGTACGACGCGGTTATAGCGGCATTCGTCCACACCTGAACCAAAGTGATCCGACGTGGAAGTGCTGCATTATGTCGGGTCAACTAACTGGGAACTACCCTGCTAGTTCTAGCAAAGCTAAATTCTCCTAACCCAAACTTTGGTACGGTGCGTACCAAAAGTCACGGCGCGACGTCTCGCAGGTGTGCGCGGCGGGTTGACGACCCATTCCGATTGACTCCAACCTCAGTGATCTGAAGCGTAAAGCAGTGTTTTATCCTTTCCGGCTGCAGACTGCACCCGGCCCCCATAGCTGCGCAGGACAAGTCACAAATAACGCAATGCGACACTAACTTCTGTAACTACCTCAGTCTTTAATTTTATCGTTTTCGCACCCCTTGTGTCGCTAGATCTGGTGACATACTCGCTACAGCGAACCCCCACAATCTAAGCTTTTTTTGTTTTTTTTGCTCTCTACTTTCTTGTGCTTTCTAATTCTTTCCCTTATTCATTCTCCTGAAATAGTCCACGTCTTGAAAGCAATTAGCCGACCCTGATGATTTCTTTGAAATATACAGCCATTATCATTGAATTTAGTCGGGATGTGCCGGCAGGGCATGGGTTTTTCCATCATGGGTTGCTGTTTCGCAGATTGGTGGGAAAGGGGTTCACTCGCGTCAAAACCTGTGTGCTGGAGACACGGACCCTTCTGACTTGAGTGAGGACGACTGAAATGTAGTACATACTGGTAGTTCTGACATATCCTTAAGCAGGCAACTTGTAGCGCCTTGACTGAGGAAGAAGTTCACTATGGAATTTGGCTCGAAATTACAAAGGAAAGCCACTGTGTGAAGACCTGCCTCCAAGTGGACTTGAAAACATACTTTCAATACCGGTTGTTATCACTCGCCCGCAGAATCTCTCAAGTTTTCTTCTTCAGAAAAGTAAAAAATATAACGGTATCGACCAATGTGCTTCAAGTGGCTTAGAGGCAGTTGGCACGATAATTTGGTTCTCGGTCTTAAATGGTAGTAGGGGTGTTATATAGTGAGAAAAATGGCGAAAAACCGAAGTGATACGGTCAAAAACCTGCAAAGGAAAGCCTTCGCTCCATTTCGGACGAGTTTTCCGTAGGCATCTTGCCAATGACCGCTACGGTAGATATAGCTGCATGTGCGCACACATATATCCACGCGGCACCGCTGCGGTTTCATAACCATCATTATATCTCTTCGTTCCTTCATAATTTACTTAGCAAATGAAGCAATACGAGCATCAGGAACGGTCGTCCATTTGTGGGCGGGCGGGCGTGGTGGGCGTTCGGGTCGGTATGTTGCAGTTTGAGCCCTTATAAGGGTACCTTTCTTGAAAAGGCGCTACGCAGCGCCTGCTCACGGTCACGGAATTCCGTCTTGCTAGGCGTATTAATCCCACTCGTTTTTTTATCGTGCTAATTGCCTTTAATGCCAGCTATCGTTGTGAGCACTTCCAAGAGCCACTATCTTGACCAAGATCTCTTCCAACGTTCAGATTGAGCGGAATAAGATCCTTTCCGCAAGTTTCCCGTGATTTATTTTGGTGTTTTCTCCTCTGCAAACCTTCTCATCACCTCTTATTCCATCTGTGACAAATCGCGAACTGTCTTATCCATATTTCAAGCGAAAAATCATCGCGTTCTTATCTGAAAATGTCATTTCAGGATGTGGAGCTGGATATTGGCCTGCTTATTTCTGCCGTCAGTTATTGGTCAGGTGGTAACGTGACGATTTTCACTGAATCTCAGTGCCCCTATTGCACACGGTTACTTCGTGAGCAGATCTGGCCATTCTACGTGAATCGACCAGGAATCATGAACCTGCAGGTGATTTTTGAACAGACTACAATTTATTGCGCTGTCACTCTCCACCCAAGCGCTCCCTGAACGGGGGGATTCAGAAGGAAACAGAAAGAATCATGGTTTCTCACACAATGCCTCTGAAACGGAAGAGAAATTCAAATAACCACCAGCTGTATCTGCAAGGACCAGTTACTACGGAGTAATCTTGATCGATCTCGTTCTTAGAGCGCCTATCGTCGCCTTATTTGCAATCGTCGCTAATCAAAGCCAGTTCTCCTTGATCATACAATTTGGATAGATCCTTCGATCACATTAATCGCTGAACGAGACAAATTGATGCACATTCGGGGGAAGGAAGAGGGGGACAATATTCTCCTTCCGAAAAAGATTCTCTGGGAAACAAGTCTTACGCAAACACATAAAAAAAACGAATTAAAAAATAAATTAAAATGAAACAAATAAATAATGGATAGAAAAAGGGGAAAATGACAAACAGCTGTCACATATAAGGACATGAAGTTTCCAGCATTGATCACCCCAGGGATGCGCCTTGCATTGGACTTCCGCTCGAGATCACAGTTGCATTTTGAAGGCGACCTGGTCTATACAGTAACCGCTGGGAAAAACAATATTTTTATATCTCCAGACAAGTTTGACACAATTTATCCCCTCACTTACCTCCTAAGGATAGATGACATGTTCAGCCCGACCCCAGGAGCATGGAGCGTAGTATGCTGCGTCATTTGTAACTACCCTACCTTCGCGCATAGCGTTCGCATACAAGGTATGAGGAAGTCCTTACTCATAGAGCGATGCACTATCAGAGCCATCGCCTTCAGTCCAGTAACTCCTTGTACCAAAAAGTTAAAAATGCTTTTGCGGCATGAGGGTCACCCCAGCTGTGCAGTTGCTGAAGTTTTTGGAGAATTCTAGTGGAGTGAAAAAAAACATTAGAGAAAGCTGAAGGAATAAACTTTTTGTATACTCCTTATCCCTGAGCCAGAGTAGGCGTGGCATTTGAACATGGCATGAAACTGGTTACTTGTGGAATATTCCAATCTGGGACAACTGCCATCTTGTTCTGTGTTGCACAGGGACACGACACCAATTTTGTCATGATGGAAATTTCTCACCACAAGCATAGACGCATCCAGATTGAGTTGAAACATGCGGCCACGCCTACCCGATCTCAGGAATTTCGAGTATAAGGTGAATCAATGAGTTTCGAAAGAAAGAATGGCGCCAAAAACTCGTCCACACAGCTTTGTGTTCCCTGTTCTTGAAGAAATCCCAGATATCCTTGTCCGCCAATGGATAAGCAGTTGCTTTTAATCCACACGAATCGCAAGAACTCGCGCTCGATCCGGTTCTCAGCAAGCGTCTGTTTGCAATCACCTATTGGAGAGAAATGGAATGAATTTGGACATGACGTTAAATAATAAGAACTACTTCCTCGTTTCTTTTTTTTCATCCTTTGACTTCCCATACATAATTGCCCCTAGGATGCTGCGATGCCTGCCAATTTCTAAAAAGTCAAGGATCCTGCTTTCCATTTAAACAATTTCGTCCCACTCCCATTTGGTTCCAATCAAACAGTTTTTCTGACGGAACCTGTCAGTTGAGTCACATGAGGCCTAATTGTGAGACGAAATGACCGGTATAAGAAAAACTGCACTGTCGGTTTCCGAGCCAAAAGTTATTCGGCCGAAAGCAGCTTGAACAAGGCAGCCTTGAAGAAACCAGGAAGTAGTGAATTTGCCGGCGTCGTTAACGACAGTTTCCGCTGCAAAGTGGCGATGGCAGGTTCGCAGCTAGCAGCTTGATAGGCGCGCTAGGCGTTACGAATTCGAGGGTGAAATGGGGACCTCCATCCCCAACCATCCC